GTCGGTTGGAGGGGGGAACGAAACATTCTTTATAAAGGTGTGGAAACCTCTCCCTAATAGACGCGTTTTAAAACCATGAGGCTGACGACGATACGTAACGGGCTAAAGCGGGGAATATCTATTAGCGGTGAGCTTGAGTTTGGGCTGTTACAAATGGTATCAGAGCCGAACTTCAGGCAGTGTGCTAGCGAAGACGCTGGGCCCCCAAAGGGGAGTGGACCGTGAGATCCCACATTGGTGGAGAGAGGAACGAAACATTCTTTATAAGGGTGTGGAAACCTCTCCCTAACAGATACGTTTTAAATCCGAGAGAGGAACGAAACATTCTTTATAAGGGTGTGGAAACCTCTCCCTAACAGATACGTTTTAAATCCGTGAGGCTAATGGCGATACATAACAGGCCAAAACGGACAATATCTGTTAGCGGTGTACTTTGGCTGTTACAAGAAGCCTTGGGGCAAATCTAAGAGAAAGGTATTCAAGATGCCATCTTAGCATTGACGGCTGTTACAAGAAGCCTTGGGGCAAATCTAAGAGAAAGGTATTCAAGATGCCATCTTAGCATTGACCCGAACATTCAAGAATTTTCTCTTACAATCGTGTAGTAAAAAGCCATTATTGAGTGTGATACCTTTCTAGGTTCAACATTCATTTGAAAGCAAATTTCCTTCCAAGTTAGCCATTATTGAGTGTGATACCTTTCTAGGTTCAACATTCATTTGAAAGCAAATTTCCTTCCAAGTTACTTATTTACTTATTTGCTGGCGATATATTGTTCATGGATCTTATATATTTTTTGAATAAATTTTTTATGTTATTGTAGAATTCTGGTGCCTTCATTGAGAAAGATGGGGCAGGTATCAGAGGCCGTATTTTTTATGTTATTGTAGAATTCTGGTGCCTTCATTGAGAAAGATGGGGCAGGTATCAGAGGCCGTATAAAGCTCACTGGATTAAAGAACGGGGATATAGATCTCTCTCAGTCCTTATGGACTTATCAGGTAACAACATCATGTTGTAATTACCAAAAAGGACCTCAATTTAATTGGTTTAACTAATAAGTTTCGGTACTAGACATCATGTTGTAATTACCAAAAAGGACCTCAATTTAATTGGTTTAACTAATAAGTTTCGGTACTAGTTATAGTTTCACCACGTCCTTGACCCTGTTAAGTAGTTAGGATCGAAAATAACTTTTTTTTGTGCCAATTCGAACATAGCTCAGTAGATAAGACACTGACTATCATTTAGAATGTTGGCAGTTCAATCTCTCGCCTAAATAAATTTTTTGTTTTGGCACTAGGTCGGGTTGAAGGGTGAATTCTTGAAATTCTATTCGTTAGAAGAAAACGAGAAGGCCGATTGGACAGGTCGGGTTGAAGGGTGAATTCTTGAAATTCTATTCGTTAGAAGAAAACGAGAAGGCCGATTGGACTGATTTGTCCGTTGATGCCATTCCGTCTCCGTTCACGTGGTACAAGGTAGATGTATCCACATGGCTCTATCAAAATTGTTGTTTATTAGACAAAATCATGTTTGACTACCAAGGTAGATGTATCCACATGGCTCTATCAAAATTGTTGTTTATTAGACAAAATCATGTTTGACTACTGCCATTACGTTTTCAGGGTGGGGATCTGGAATGGTGTTTTTTTTATTACCAGTCATGGAATCTCATTTTTTGCTTTTGTTGGACTCTTTGTTTTCAATTTTTACTGTTTACAGTGTCCCCATTTGGTCTGATTGATGCTGTAGGGGTTTTGCTAGTGTTTTCAATTTTTACTGTTTACAGTGTCCCCATTTGGTCTGATTGATGCTGTAGGGGTTTTGCTAGATAGTTTCTCTCTCTCTAGAACTCCCTTTTTCTCTAGTCGTTATTTAGGAAGGAGGGCAGAATGACCAAATTACCCCTCCGGGGTTGACTTTGACCATTTTTCTTTTGTACTTTTCTTGAGTTTGTGGGTCTTTTCCAGGTATTTCTCTCAATAAAATACCAGAAGTTTGGATTCGATAGGAAAAACCAGGTCTTTAATACCTCGTGGGGACTTGGGTGTTATAGTTCTACCCGGGGAAGCTTTATTTTGCATATTTTCCATTTCTTGTGTATAAGTATGGTCAGATAGATTTTGGGATAAGAGAAGAATCTTGTGGCAAACCCGTTCGTTTGCTATCTCGTGAGGAGTGTAGCTCGAGAGGAATGGTAGAATTTTTAGAGGGGTGGGGAGTTCTTCGGAGGAGGGGTGGGAGGTTGCGAGATCTAATGTGTCTTTATGGGTGTGCATTGATTAAACTTGTAACAGCCCAAGCTCTTTCGGGCTTCCCCTCAAAGTTTTTAAAACGCTTTCTGCTAAGAAGAGGTTTCCACACCCTTATAAAGAATGCTTCGTTCCCTTCTCCAACCGACGTGGGATCTCACATAACCTTTTATCATTATCTATTTGGTCCTGTTCTTTTGCTTTCATTTGTCTCGATGAAAGCTTAGTTTCTTACCAAAAGAAAAATGGTTAGAAATTCACTCCTTTTCCTTTTGGTGTAGGCATACTTCAGTTCGCCTGACGGGACCGACCCGGTCGCTATCAATCTAGGAAGCATGGGAAAGGGACAGGCTTGGGTCAATGGTCATCATATAGGTAGATACTGGACCGTGGTTGCCCCAAAAGATGGCTGTACCAAAAAATGCGACTATCGTGGTGCTTATAATTCAGGAAAGTGTGCTACAAATTGCGGTCGGCCAACACAAAGCTGGTATGTCCGCACTTACTATATAGCTCAAAGAAGCCTAATTATGTTTCAATAGTGAAAATGTTTACTGCTTGTTAGGCTAACACAAATCATTTGTTATTATTTATAGAAAATGTTTTACTTTGTATCGTTTATGGCATCTTTTAGGTACCACGTTCCGCGATCATGGTTAAAGGAATCGAACAATTTACTCGTCCTCTTCGAGGAAATGGGAGGAAATCCGCTCGAGATCGTCGTGAAGTTGTATTCAACTGGAGTTGTCTGTGGTCAGGTCTCAGAGTCCAACTATCCACCTCTAATGAAGTTGTCTGCTGATGGAGAAATTCTCTTGAGCGGAACGAACCCGGAAATGTTCTTGCATTGTGACGATGGCCACGTAATTTCCTCGATCGAATTTGCTAGCTATGGAACTCCTCAAGGAAGCTGCAAGGAGTTCTCTAGAGGCCGCTGTCATTCAACCAATTCTCTTTCTGTTGTTTCCCAGGTAAGTTGTCCTTTGTTTGATATTTCAATAGAATTCTATGGCTTATAATGTAACAGTCCAAGTCTATTGATAGTCGATATTGTCCTTTTTGACCCGTTACGTAACGCTGGCAGCCTCACGATTTTAAAATGCATCTGTTAGGGAGAGGTTTCCACACCCTTGTAAGGAATGTTTCGTTTCCCTCTCCAACCGATGTGGGATCTCATTATATCATCTAAGGAGATAGATTGTGAGATCTCACATCGATTGGAGAGAGGAACAAAGCATTTTTTACAAGGGTGTAAAAATCTCTCTCTAGGAGACGCATTTTAAAACTGTGAGGCTGACAGTGATAGGTAACGGGCCAGAGTGGACAATACTTATTAGCGGTGGACTTGAGTTGTTACCTATATAATAAGCTGCTGTGACAATTTTTTTTTACATATAAATTGCTATCAAAACGTGCTCTTACAAAAATTGGGTGTAACATGAAGTAAATAAGTGTTCGGTAAATTTCGAACTTAAACGTCGAAAAGTAGATAAAATAGGAAGTCTTAAGAGTTTTGGTTAAACGAGCTGCCAGATCGTTCGGATATAAAAAGCTCCTGTGGCCTGTGGGTATGCTTTTCAGCTTGTATCCATAGTAAGTAACCTCGCAAGTTTGTTTTTTCAAACCTTTTCAGGCTTGTTTGGGTAAAAATAGTTGCACAGTTGAAGTTTCAAATTCTGCATTTGGAGGTGATCCATGTCGTAGCATTGTCAAGACACTAGCGGTTGAGGCTCGATGTAGTTCGACATCAAGTACTCGTTTATCTGCTTGACATGAAAAGCAGCTATAACCCGAGCGACGTAATTGAGCTTCATGGCCCCTCCATTCTCTTTATGTAAGTATGTGTTTATGCATTTTCTATCCTGCCACTTCGGTATATACCGAACTCGTCGGTGTCGTCTTCCTTGTAAATTTGTAAAAGATATCAATGCATTGAATGAAATGAGAACCAAAAGAAAATCAGCTGTGATATGTTTTGGCTCAAAACTGTTGTTTTTCCCCCCTTTGTCTCTTTTATATGTTTAAGATTGATTGAGTCAACATCTTTTGTTCCTTTTTTGGATTATCATTTGAATATAACTAAACAATATAAAGTTGAGATTTCATATATATCTTTACTATTCATTTCTGATTTTGATTTTAGACAGAATTTGAACATGCCTCCTGTCTTGAATAAATTGGCCTAACTTGTCGATAGTTTTTGATTTTAGACAGAATTTGAACATGCCTCCTGTCTTGAATAAATTGGCCTAACTTGTCGATAGTTAGTTAAAGGTTCAAATCCTTCCCCTTCTAAGGTTGAGTTTAGAGTAACTTGTCAAGTTAGAGACAACTTTCGAGAAACAAAAAATTTGGCTGATAGCTTCAAACTCTAATTATTTGCTTCTATATAAAGACAACTTTCGAGAAACAAAAAATTTGGCTGATAGCTTCAAACTCTAATTATTTGCTTCTATATAAATAAGTTAATATTAAATTACGATTTTTGTAAAAGTAAAAGTTCGATAGATGTCTAGCATTTTTGAGGTTTCAAGCGCTTTTTTCGCTGAGCATATGATTGTCTCGCCCACTTTGCCACCGGGCGACGGGACAACTTCCATTTGATATTGAAAAAGCCGGCCTAACATGTTTTGGCCGGAAGAATAGGGAGAGAGGTCCACTGAGTGGAAGACATTGGTTAACATTCCTCAAAGTCCAGTTTTTAATTGTTAATCAAAACCTAACATGTCATAACCACTAGAAAGAGGAAAAACAATAAGAACTTCACTAATACAAAAAAGAAAAAAAAGAATGAAATGGTAATTTCAGAAATTCCATCTATGTAGAGCCAATAAAAGTAAAAATAGGATTTGAATTCTATTTCAAGGAATACTAAATGACAAATACACCTAAAGCCAATAAAAGTAAAAATAGGATTTGAATTCTATTTCAAGGAATACTAAATGACAAATACACCTAAAATCAATCGATCAATCTAAGTTTGAAATCACTCAAAATTCTAGCTCCTCTCTAGAATGGTTCTCGATTCGTACCTGCTGGCATTCGGGTTTCCATTAAACGAAAATTTCCCATCATTTTCATTCCTTACTGGAAGAACAAAAACTTCCCCACAGTCATTTTCCCCATGGAAAACAGCAACATTTCTGTACGAAAGGCAAATAATAAATCACTAAACTTATACCAACACCGTAGAAAATATTGAAGGGAAAAAGATTTTCAACTTTTTCCACCTAAAAGTTTGCATAAAATGGCTAAACATGTGCTCAATTGTGGTGAAAATGTGTTGAAAACACGACAATTGTGGTTAAATCACCGAACCCAAAAATTTGTTTTTGCATTTTTGGGTGATTCTACATGATATCAAAGCAAGAGATCGAGTTATCAAATCACTGTAACGAATATTAATTTTGGGTGATTCTACATGATATCAAAGCAAGAGATCGAGTTATCAAATCACTGTAACGAATATTAATAACCACTTATTGAACCTTGTGCAATTTTTCAGTCCTCAATAAGGGAAAGATTAAATTTATTGTAATCTATTGACTTGGATTTATGTACCTTAGAATTTTCGGCATCGGATCGATTACGACGGTCAGCATGAGAAATGTTAGTCCCCACCGGAAAACCTAGAATTTTCGGCATCGGATCGATTACGACGGTCAGCATGAGAAATGTTAGTCCCCACCGGAAAACCCCCTTCTTCCTCAGTTTGTCTCTCCTCACGTACTCTGGTGAAAATACTTGTGTAGTTCTCAGATGATGTTGGATCGCTCTCATCCCAGTCACCAAATCTTGGAACTGTGGGGCTACGATCAGGCTGCAGATGATGTTGGATCGCTCTCATCCCAGTCACCAAATCTTGGAACTGTGGGGCTACGATCAGGCTGCAAGCTCAAACATAAGAGATCATGTCATTCAAAGTCATGAACCATTTGATTTCAGCAAATTCTAGGCAGCTTTTGTTTAAAAGACCTGATAATACCTAAAGAACAAATCTGGAAATTCAGACACTCAAAACACCATTTTCTTTATCAACCTTTACCCTGGTTGATTGTTACTATCTCCAAAATCTTTTGATGACTCTCTACTTGTGCAATTAAACACAAAGAAAAGGAAATGAGAAGAAGAAACTACAGTTTCATTGCCCCGAGGAGCGGATTGTTGACGTGATCTTCCAGGAGTCAAGGGAGTTATACCATCATGACAACCTCCTTTATGTGAACTCAAACCCCTACGGTCCCGTAACGGCGAAGATGGTACAACGCTTTTTGCTTCGGTCCTTGGATGCTGTCGTGTATGGAGAGATGGATTTTCTATGTTGCTGTCAGAAGCTGCGCCATTTCGTCCTTGGATGCTGTCGTGTATGGAGAGATGGATTTTCTATGTTGCTGTCAGAAGCTGCGCCATTTCTCAAAGTGGCCATGTTGTTTCCCTGGCGTTGATGAAGAGGGGAATTAAAGCTAACCCAACTCCTTGTTTGATGGTCCAAAGGAGATTCAAGGTGTTTTTTTGCATTACCATCTTCCAAGCTCGAATGTTCTTGAGTGTACTTTTGCCTTAATGCTTGTTGACCCCGACTCGTGGTTGATTTTAAACTGTCATAATCTTGACCAGGCAGTTCTGAACCATCCCGGTGCAATGGAGACTCGGCTTGCCTCCTCACAACACCTTCTCTAGTTTCGTGTTGCTTCGAAATCTCCTCTTGTTGAAGAGGATCATTTAAATTCAACCTCTCGGAAATAGCCTTTGTTGCATTGTCAAAATAGGTCGTATACGGGACATCCTCCCCATCATCCCACTTCCCAAATTTTGGTACTTGCAAACTCTGCTGCAGGGGAAGATGAAAATGTCTTTCATTCTTACTAAATCATTTACAGTGGACCAACCATAAGCAAAGAAACTAGATTTATGGTTCTAAACTGGATTGAATTCATGCATATTCTAAAAATTACATGCAATTCACCCAATTCAAGCAGATTCCTGCAACTTCTCAAAACTTCCGGTAGGGAATTTCCTTATAGTCCCTAAAAGCTAGATGGTAACAAATCTATGAAAAGGTTACAAAACCATCCATGTGAAAGAAAATGACGATATGCAATCAGCACGCATTGTTTTACCTTTGAAGCATACAAATTTATATATATAAACCAAATTCAAAACTCATGAAAGATGAGCTTGCTCATGGTGGAAAATAAGGATAACCATCTTCTTTCAGGCTGTCAGCCATGACATTAAAAGCAATACCAATTACTTACCATAGTTTCTAAATAGTATAGTATCAAATTCGTGTTATTACCATGGCGGTACCGCCTACGAATTGTGTATCAATAAGATTTCCCACATGAATCAGAACAATAAACATGGGCATTGAACATCTTAAAGGAATTCTTGGAGTGGAAATGGTCTCTTCTTTATGACAGGAGAAACGGGCTTGACTGAATCTTTGACACAGTCTTAGAAAGACAGAACTAATTACTTTTTCTTTAAAAAGTTCAGTAAGATACATAATGTGTTCAAAAGACTCAGTCATGGAAAGAGAATTAAAAGTAGCCTACAGGTTGAACCCATTAATTAAGGTAAGCTAGAGAAGAGAAGGTCAAATCAGTTCTAGACTCCAAGATAGTCAGATCAACGACGAAATAACGAGCTTGTTCATCTCTGAACTCGACACCAATTGAATATGATTCTACATTGTATACATCCATAAACAGCCAGAACACAAGAAAAGCGAAAAAAGAAAGATCTCATAAAAATATGCATATAAAGTTCAAAAAATGAGGCCAAAGCATAGATATCAATAGTTCGCAACTTATAAATAAGATGACGAAAGAAATTCAGTAAGCTCCATCGCTTCAGAACCAGTCAAGAACATGGCAATCACAAAATAACAAACGAAGAGAATGTAGAGAACTTTCGAAAACTCACAGCCATTAGCCTAAGGACGAGGCTAGAAATCTCAAAACTGTACTCCCAAATCAAACCGAGCAACCTATTTTAACTTCTTCCAAGTTCAACCTGCACAGCAGAAGTTAAAACAAACAAAAATTGGCCACACTAGGCGAAAGCGACGGCCATAATAGAAGCAGATACAGAGCACTGGCATGAAAACGATCAACCAATTAGCTAAAGAAAAGCAAGCTTCCATGAAATTAATGGCTTACTCAGCGACATTATTGACTCGAAAGTCTAGATTCTCGAAGTAGGACCCGAAACATGATCCAAAATTAATGTGAAAACCCTCTGGAAATCGAATAATATTGCAATTGGAAGACGGATCTGTAGAATTTCATGACCTTTTTTAACGGAAGCTTTTGGTGAACTAAAATGAAAAAAATTGGGGAGAAGAAAACGATTTGACAGCAACATTTTTCACTCCACTTTCTGGAGCAAAAGTTTTGCATCATTTTTCACTTTTTAACTAAATCTTTTGGAGAAATGAACACAAAGAAGAGAGAGAGAGTATCGAAAAATGGAAATGAACAAGATGAGGTCAGCGCGATGACGAATGATTGAAGACGAAGAACTTCACAACCGGAGAATTCAAATCATCAGACAGTGACCCTTCCATCGCCCCCATTAATAGTGCACCTCTCACAGTTTTCTATATTTAAATAATTATTATTCTTCTTATATACTTATGATTTACTTTATTTTTATTTTTAAAAATGTCCATTTTAATTATTGTATTTTTAAAATTCGATTTAGTATTTTTTTTTTTCATTTTTACACTCTATAACTTTAATTTCTCTCAATGAAAGTCTCATATTTTAGAGAATGATATGAGTTTATAATCAAAGAATACTCTCCCTATTGGTATAATCGAGAGCTTATGTTCAAAGTGGACAATATGATGTGGATGGTCGTGTTCATCTAACAACTCTATTTAATTTTAATAATGATATAAAAAAATGTTAATTTATTTTCTATCAACTCCTATTTATTTTATTTATTTATTTTATTTTTAATAACCATATCATTTAATCTAACATTGAAGGTTAGTTTTTTTATTTTATTTATTTATTTTATTTTTAATAACCATATCATTTAATCTAACATTGAAGGTTAGTTTTTCTTGAAATGAATAATTATTGATGTATTTAATTCTCCATTTAATTGAAAATTATATGGAAACTTTTACTTATAAATTGAATAATTAAGAATCCATAGTAAATGTTAAATGTTAAAAGATTTTAAATATTTATTACTTATAAATTGAATAATTAAGAATCCATAGTAAATGTTAAATGTTAAAAGATTTTAAATATTTATTCAAAATCCAAACATATGTCTTCGCTACAGAAGAAAACATTCAGTGAAATATTATAAAAAAATTAAATCACCAAATTTGGAAAGTCTTCCAAGATCTTCTACTTCTTCAACTATGATCGATTTGAGACTCCTACAAAATTGGGGAAAGAAAAGAAGCCAACCCTTTACTAACCAAGCAAAGCAAAGAAAACAAAAACGTAAAACCAACCAAACTCGTCTTTTAAATCTATCGAGTTAGAACTGAGTCAATTTTGAGTGCATATAAGAGCATCAACTCAACGAAGAACTAGACGAGCCAACTATATGTCATCTAGTACTAAAGGTTGAATCTGCAATCGATACCAAAATTTTCAAAAGATCTCGACTTATATGCATCATCCTAGCGCACCAAACAATAATTGATCGTGCCTAACATCATTACATAAACGATAAAAATGGTAGATATTTGAATTCTCATTAGAGATGAAACCTTAATCAAGATGCGCATGAACGTGCTTTAGCTATTCTAGCAGGAGATGCGCATGAGAGATAAAAATAGTTAGATGTTCAAATAATTGATCATGCCTAACATCATTACATAAACGATAAAAGTGGTATATGTTCGAATCCTCATTCGAGATGAAACGATGAAACCTTAATGAAGAGATGCGCATGAACGTGCTTTACCCAGGTCATGAACCAAAAGTTTTCTACGCAAAAATGCAAATCATTGAAACTTAAGGATGAAAGTAAGATCTCAACCCCTAGCATTTCCATGATAAATTTAGATCTAAAGAAAACATATAACTTACTGTACATTACAATAATTTTTAAAAATGTAAATGAGCTTACTTCTTCAGTGAAAATGCTAGCTTTTTACTTCAGACATCTGATCTTCTTTGTAGCATCAACTATGCTTTGCCTGATTTCTGGGTGTTTCAGATTTAAAAGTTTCTCAAGCTGAAGAGCTGATTCATTGAAGAGATCTTCCTTTATACAGAACTCTGAAGGAAGAGCAAAAATCACTTCATTCACTTCTTCCTCGAGTTGAAGGGAAAAGAGGTGATTAAAGACCTGCACAAGAACACATTTAAGATGCAATTGAAAATAAAGCTTAAATACATGCCTAGTCCAGAATGTTTGTACTCACTCCTTTCATTCTTGAGACAACCATATCGTTAATGGTCGGAGATCGCGTGACCAAGTTTACAATAAAAATACCCTGCTCGGAGAGGGCATCTTTCACTGCTAGAAGAAAAGGTTCTTCTACAAAATCAGCTGCCGGGCAGGTCATTCCAGAGCTACACAGGTCAGAAAAACAATGAGAGTCTACACGTGAATGTTCTCGAACCTTCGTTTATCTTTTTTCAATTTGCACAATTGGTTGTCTTGTTTTGAAGTTTTCTTCCCATTATAGCTAATATAGGTTTTGTATGAGAGGGGGTTCTACGGTAGGGAGTATGGTGCTATGATTGAGGAGGTGCTCCTTGATCCCCACTGTGGACAAGGGAAGAATTTTATGGCAGTCTTGTTTCTTGTGTTATGAGAAAGCTCAAGAGGAAGATCAATCCTGAACCTGATGAATTGTTCCTTTTTTGTTCCTTTTTCTGATATACGAAATATAATCGATTTTGTTTGCTAGTGTGACGAAAAAGAAAGAAAAGTGCTTCCAGCCCAGAGATGTCCTCACACGGAGAGTTTGCCCCTTGGGTATGTTTGCCATATATCGGGGTGGAAGATGGAATCGGGGCGGTTGGCTGCGGAGCCTGATGCAAGCCTTCCCCAGGTGGAATTCATATTTCAGTAGAACTCGGAAGAGTTGTGACTATTCTAAATTCACTGTTCTCGGGGGTTGGTCGAAATAGGTTGGTAGGCCCAAAGGGAATAATTTTGAGGGGCAGTCTTGTTTCTTGTGTTATGAGAAAGCTCAAGAGGAATATCAGAATTTTGTGTGGGATTTTTATTTTATTTTATTTTTGTCCTAGTGCCTTCTTTCAAATTCTCAATGAAGGCTTAGTTTAAAGAGGGAGGGAATAAAACTAAGAAAAATATCACACAAATTATAGTCCAGACTACCTTGAGTCTGTTGCATCCACGTCGATAATAAGTATGTCAATCTTCGTATCTCCTCGATGTTTTACATGAGATGAGTTTCCATTGTCGAGAACAATGGCTGATGAATCCTTTGCCCCAGAATTTCTGAACTCTCTAACAAACTGAATCCCATCAGCAATATGAACCTGAAATATCAACGGATAACCCTCATTCTTATACATGAAAGTGCAGTGTAGAAAAGTTTCAGAACAAATCTAGATGGCTCTAAATCAAAGCCGAGTCAAAATATGCACAGGATTGACATTTATTACATGGCAGAATGCATTCAGAAATGGCAACTCCGCTGCATTTCTGTAGAGAACTTGAAGAATTGAAGTAAAAAGAAAAAAGAAAATTCATTGCATGGATGAAAGTTATGAGGCAGTGCTTGCGTAGCTTGATCTGAAAAAATAAATTTAGATTTCCTTATAGGATGCACTAAAAAGATTAAATTTACCTTAATCTATAGTTTAAAGTTTTGGGTCTAGTGATAGTTTAACGCACTTCATAGAAGAGGTTTTGTGCTCAAAGTCCTTTCGTGCTAATTTTTCTCGAACGATTATAGATAATACACTAATTTCGCATCCCAATCGAGTTCCCTAAGTCATAGGTGATGGAGGATGTTAGAAATATACTGCAAAGAGGAGATGTATTTTATCCCATCAGCTTAAATGGTGGCAGTTCTACACCATCAGCTGATGTTTCTTACATGAAAACCAAGACTTAGACCAAACTTACTCCAAAGACATTAGACAAATACTAAGTATAGACTGTTAAGAATTAAGAGTTAAAAAAACATTATGTCAGCTAGCAAAAAAGTAACATAGGTGTAGCATGAATACCGTCAAATCTGCATCCTCAGTAAAATCGAAGTAATCCCTTGCAAGTTTGAGAATTGTTGAATCCAACTCAACCACCTGGATCATTTTACACTTATCACAATTTAAGAAAAAATTCACCATGTTTTAAGGGGGTAGGGGAGAAGAAGTACCTCAATGTGTAAAAAACACATGCATGCACGGAGGAACATGGGCAGCAAACCTGCTCCAAGACCAATGACAACTGTATTCACCTGTCAAGAACAGCTAGTTAAATTTCAGTCGAAAAGGGAAAGAAACAAGAGAGGAAGGCACACATACAAGACAGATAGAAGGAGCGGACCTCTACATAATGATTTGTTTACATAAAAGAAAATTGAGAAGTGGTTATTCAGGTTAAGGTGACTCTTTTTAAGCAATTAAAAAGTCACTCCAAATAGACCCTAAATTTCCACCATCAAACTTCTCTAACAGCTTAAAACTTGATTCCATGAAAAAAAAAAAATAATGCATAAGTTGAAAAAATGCTTGTAGAAAAGTGCACGTTTACATTGCACTTTCAATGTAGGAAGAGATCATAGAAGGGTCAAAGACAGTGAACTTGCCGTTGTTCTAGCTGATGCTACACTCTCCAAATATTGAGATATCAACATAAACCCCGAAATGATCCCCAAATGATAAGAACTTGCCAGATAGCAATGATAAACCTTCATTTGGTCACTGGACTCTGTCACATTATATCAACAACAGAAAAAGATAGAAAACAAAGTGAGAGTGATGCTGGATAGGCGGGAACTTTTGTTGGGATTATTTAGGGTTAAATCTGAGCTTTGAGTAGTTTAATCTGATTCACAAATTTTGGGCTCAGCAATTAAATCATAAGCTACTAAGGGGAAAAAAAAATGGCACAAAAATAAAGAGAAGAGGGGGAAAACTGTAAGATCCAGTGCTGCACTGTAGGGACATCCTAGGATTTAAGTCTTGATCCACGAGCCTCAATACAAAAATGGTAAGAACTTATTGCACTAAAATTAGAACTTAAAAATCCAATTAGAATAAGAAAATTAATTAAAATTACAAGCGCTATACTCTAGGGTTGTATTATATATTAGAATTTAGCTTAATAAAAAAACAAAATATAGTAGAAAATAATACAATATGAAAGCAATGATTTGACTCTAAATACTTAAATGCTAATCCTCTATTCAAGCAACACCAAAAAGCTAAACTTCAAAGCTTAAAAAATGAATGTGAAAAGCTAGATGTCCACAGAGCGGTGCAGGGGTAGGGACTGAGACAGGACAGGGGCGAGAATGGGGAAGACTTTCCCATTCCTATCCCCGCAACATATTTCAATTCCCATCTCCACAAAATTGCACTTTTTTTTTTTCACGAGGAGC